AGATTAAAAAATCAATTTGCCTGACTAGCTCCAGCAGGGAGTGTGTAAGGAGGCTCCCCGGTCATGGCAATACAAACTCCTAAAACAGGAGGTGTGAGAGGCCCGTGACATGGCCAGGTCTGTGCTGCTAGAAACAGCCCCGGCAGGAAGGAAGCATTGGACAATGTGAGAGTATTTGTACTTAATTGACTGTGAATGCCACCGAACCGTTCTCAGCCCTTTGTGGACATGGTTTTTGTTTTTTGTTTTTTAAATATATTTTATTGATTTTGTATAGAGAGGGAGGGAGAGAGATAGTTAGAAACATTGATGAGAGAGAGTCATCTATCAGCTGCCTATTGCACACCCCCTACTGGGGATATGCCCACAGTCAAGGTAAATGCCCTTGATCGGGACCTTTCAGTCCCCAAGCCGACGCTCTATCCATTGAGCCAAACCGGTTTCGGCTGGACATGGTTTTAACTCTCCCTAAAAATCACCGATTACCCAGTTCCGGGAAGCGGACCTTTCTCAAAACTTCCCCCCCCCCCCTCAGGTTACAACGTTCATAGAATTTCTGCTCCGGTGAATTGGCCAGATACCAGAGATCAGCATGCGCAGATCTACAGGAGTGAGATGCAGGAAGGCGGCTTCTGGGGTGTGCTGAGCACCCAAGGTCATGGGAAGAGAAGATGCTAGAAAGACCAGTGCTCATGGTTCCTTTCTAAAGCCTCTGCTATGAATGGATGGGGTGCATATCAGTGTTCACAAACTTCTTTCTGTTTACCAGAACCGACAAATAAAATATAAATGTATTTACACTGCGACCTGGCCGCACTCCTACACACACACACACACACACACACAGACGCACTCACACACACACACACACACACAGACGCACTCACACACACACACAGACGCACACACACACGTTAAATAACGTTTCACAAAACTGAGGCTTACAGAGGTCATACCAGGACCAGTAGCAATATCCAAGTAGTCTAACCTCAGAGCCTGAATTCTTTATCACGGTGACATAATTTTTTTAAAAAAAGAATGTGTTTCTAAAATACCTTAATAAAGAAATTTTTAAAAAGGAAATAGCTACATCAGCCATGAATGTGATGGTTGAAAAATAAAACCGCCAGCGATTGGCTGGAAGTAAGTTGAAATACTGCCTTTTAGATTAAGCCCGGTGGTTATCACCTGCTTACAAATTGTGGTTCAAAATCGAGATAAGATGCAATCACTTATTCCCAACAATTTCTAACCTAACTTTTAAAGACTTGCCTTGTGTACCAGATCAGAAGCGTAGAATCATAGGACTATACTTCTTTATTATTTTACAATTTAGTGTATAAGGAGTGCAGAAGGAGATACTTCAGTGAAAAGAAGAATACGCTATAGACAGAGATTCCATGGGATTTGTTTCATGCCCACCCCCCGCCCCAACCCCTCCCTGCACTGGGCCCTCTTGCTCACTCACCTTCCAGAGGATCCTGTGTACACATGCTCCAACACTGGGCTGCTGCTTTAGGACACAAGACCCCAGTTTTCTATCTGTAGCCTTAAAGTGTATTATTGTATTTTTAGTGTTCAACTTTCTTATTTAAAAGGAGAAAAAAAAAAAAAAAAAGACATCACCTTATATTCAAATGAATACGGTACTTGCCAGAGCTCACCCTTGGGCCCCTTGCTGTGAGTCCACCTATCTTGAAATTCTAGGAGGGCTGAGCACAGGCGGCTTTCATCAGATGCGTGTTTGAGAAGCCCACCTCGGAGAAGGCGTGCATCTAAAATACAATAAAAACGGAAACAACAATATTCAGGAACCAGCAGCTGCCATCCCCCTCTTCCGTTGTTTCTGGGCCCGATCCAGTGGCCCTGCACGAGTGCTGGAACGCAGCGAGGATGAGAAAGACAGTTCAATACAGACGGCGCCTTCATCAGATCTCATGTTTCAAAGCCAGGGGCAGGAAGCATTGGAGGGCACACAGCGAGACACACTGACGTGTAGGACATAGGTTCCTAGCAGAGGGAGAATAAAACCCATACAAATAACGGAGCCTTGGGAACGTGACGTTATTTATGCACGAGAGGCCTAGTGCACGAAATTCATGCAAGGGCCTGGCCCTCACAGCCCCAGCTTCATCTGAAGGTCATCCGGACGGTCGTTCTGCTGTCCGTTCTAATTAGCATATTCGCTCTTTATTATATTATGTATTATTCTTTAATACTTGGCTGAATACACACTTTATTTATCCTAGAAGCTATACTAAATATTATGTCAGAGGAAATCTGACTTAAAGTATAGACTTGCAGACTTCCACATATGTATTTACAAAACACTTTCCCCGTCTCGGCCCTCAAAAAACCATGAATTTGGTGTACATACATTGTGCCGAACTGACTGCCAAAAGACTGTCTTCATCAATAAAAAGGCAAATGCGTATGAACCCATTTGCCTTTCAAAGTGACTGCGGCCTACAATACCCAGCTCTCTCGGAATAGCTCTAGGTCGGGAGCAGTGGGCAGGAGCCTCTGAGAAGAGATGGTGTGAGATGGACCAGTACACAGAGCCGAAGGTGGGAGGGGAGGAACGAACAGGCTACTGCCTGGTACTCCCGGCAGAGAGGTGCAGCTTACTGTGTCCGTGCCACTCGCCCGCCGAAGACGCACAGGCCTCAGTGGTGACAAGCTCAACCAATGATGGGAAGGAGAGAGACCCCCCCTGACGGGAAGTATTGGAAGCAGAGGGAAGTCAAGAGATGTCTGAGTTGTGGTTCAGACCTGAGGATGAACTGGGGTCTGGGGAACTCTGAAAACATATTAGCCCATTTTAAAATATATATATTTTATTGATTTTTTTACAGAGAGGAAGGGAGAAGGATAGAGAGTTAGAAACATCAATGAGAGAGAAACATCCATCAGCTGCCTCCTGCACACCCCCTACTGGGGATGTGCCCTCAACCAAGGTACATCTCCTTGACCAGAATGGACCTGGGACCCTGCAGTCCATAGGCCGATACTCTATCCATTGAGCCAAACTGGTTAGGGCAGATTAGCTCATTTTAATGCTGAAGTGTGGAAGTAGCGTCATCCCAATAAATAGATACTTACCCCTAGGGCAAGCATCCAAGAAGCCAAGTTCATACTAAAGCCAGGGTTGGCCTCCTGGTCCGTGGGAGCTGTAATTCGTTTTTTCAGGGGCAGAGGGTACAGTAAACTCAGTCACATAAGACTTGGGTTCACGTTCCCACTCCATTTCACTTGGTGTGAACTAGGCGTCAGGGAGTGACCAAGTTGTCTTTTAATCTGCCTTATAGGTTGCAGTTAGAAATAAGACTATATTGGGTGCTAAGCAAGTGCTTACTATGGAACGTATAAGTAATATGATTCAAATACAAATGAAATCATAAACGGAAGTTCCTGGCTTCAATTCCCACACAAGCTCTTTACCATTGAATTAAGATTTGGGGGCCAACCCAGCCAGTTAGCTGGCAACGATGGGCATGATTTTTTCATACTTTACCTAACTCTTAACTATTTTAGTATGAACAGGTCACTGCCTAAATGCTAGCATCTGATACTGATCATTTAATTATAATATAACCTTTTCATGTGTTTCTAGAAATACCATTTTAAATAGCACAATGAGCTATAATTGGGTTTTACTGTTGTAATGGGAAAAAGAGTAAGAAGGAAGAAAATAACTAATGAAACAGAAGAGCCCGTAATCTTATCTTTTGAGATTTTTGTGTCCTTTGCATTGTTTTTTCATCCAGAGAGGCATCAAGATATGATCCGTTTGACAAGAAATGTTAAAAGTCATGCCTCCTAAGATAACACCTTGCCTGAGGTAGACTGAACATGTCCTAAAAGTGAGAAGAATGTTTGACATGACCTGAGATACTCCAGGCCTGCGATGGAAAGCAGGGTCCAAAAAATGAGAATCCCACCCAAATACTTTATTTATTTATTTATTTATTTATTTATTTATTTATTTATTTATTTTTGATTTCAGAGAGGGAGGGAGAGAGATATCCATGATGACAGAGAATCTTGGATCAGCTATCTCCTGCAAGTCCCCCACTGAGGATCTAGCCCACAACCCGGGCATGTGCCCTTGATTGGAATCGAACCTGGGACCTTTCAGTTCAAAGGCCAATGCTCTATCCACTGAGCTAAACCGGCGAGGGCCTAAATACTTCTTTATAAAAGGTTTTGAATAGATTAGGTGAAATGAAACAGCAGAGAGGCAATTGGAAAACTTAGGCCTTATAATTCAATTGTACTTTAAACACAAATTGAAGAACCCTAGCTGGTTTAGCTCAGTAGGTAGTGTGTCAGTTGTGGGCTGAAAGGTCCTAGGTTTGATTCCAGTCAAGGGCAAATGCCTGGGTTGGGGGTCATTTTCCAATAGGGGACGTGCAGGAGGCAGATGATCAGTGATTCTCTCTCATCATTGATGTTTCTATTTCTCCCTCTTCCTTCCTCTTTGAAATCGATAAAAATATATTATTAAAAATAATAATAAAAATTTAATGGCAGTTAATCTGTGTGAGTCGCCACAGTGCTTGGATTTGAGATATGCTTAGATTATTTAGATTATTCTGCCTGAAAATGTTTGACTCTCTTCATCCACACATACACACAACATACTACTTACTATTCACACTCATAGCTTCTCCAACTACTGGTGGTTGATGCAATGATAGTGGTAACCGAGGAAAGAATTTTATTGCTTTTTCAAATCAATCGAGAGACACGTAAAATCAACTCTTGGGACAGAGAACAGTTAATAGTGTGTTTGTGGAGCAGCTGGTGCTTAGCCATTGTGTGGCTTTCCCCTTCACCTGAGATGCCAGATTGAATTTGGAGCCAAGTTCACATGTTCGAATCTCATTGCCCAGTGGGATGAGTGTATGGAAGTGTAGAAGGAAATACTGTGCCCATCCGCTTTTGCTGGCGAATCCTCTGTACTGACTTCCTGAGAATCTCCTGTTTGCCTTCCCCAGGAATGGCGGCTCTGGATAGAAAGGCGTCGGGGAAGATGGGAATGCGAGCTGTCGTCTATTACATGACTACAACCATCATCGCCGTGGTGATTGGCATCATCATGGTCATCATCATCCACCCAGGGAAGGGCACAAAGGAGAACATGCACCGGGAAGGCAAGGTCATACAGGTGACGGCTGCAGACGCCTTCCTGGACCTGATCAGGTGCGTCCTCCGAGCCCATCCCCTCGGGTCCATTCTGACCTCCCAGCCCCTCTTATCTGGGGAAGCTAATCAAGCCCTGAAAGTGGGGTCTAAATGAACCCGCCTTGCTGGGCTTAAAATGGTCACATCTTTGCTTCGTTCTAACAGAACTTAAAGTTAGGCTCCATGTTCAGTCTTAGGAGGAAGAGGTTAGAAGAGCAAGGAGCAGACAGAGGGATTTTGAGAGCCCTGCTTTTAGGATTTAAATCTATCTGATCACTCAGTCCCCTCTCAACCCTGCAGCTCCCCTGGAATGTTAATAAATCTTTACTTACTTTTTTCAAATCTAGTTTTTAAGGCTTTTATTCTAGTGTAGCCTGTTTATTGGACTCTTCTAATTCAGAACCTGAGATCTATATTATCATTCATTACACGTAACCATTTCTTTCCAAAAGGGACTTTAGAGATCATCTAGTCATTCCCATTTCAAGGTCTTCTTTTTTGGTACTGTTTATGAGAAAGGAGTTGGCCGAGCAGTAATAAAAGGTTAAAGGATGACTTCTTTAGCATTGTTTTATGCACTAACCACACACTGATTATCGCTGAATCGTATCTAATATTGAAACAAACTTGGTGATCGAGTTGGTCTTACATGGGACTATGACATATATGTCAAAGTTTAATCCTGGAGCCCTCTGCTTGCTCTCTCTGCCCTTGCATCCGTCAGGTCCTGGCAGGAAGCAAATGTCATTTTCAAAAGGATCATTGAAAAGAGCTTGCACCGGTGCAGGCAGAATTAAGGGAACTTACGAGCGATGGTGTGGCACCAGAGATGGAAGCTGTTTTGGTTCTACCTCAAGTCAGGGGTAAAGGCAGGAGCTGTTCCTGGGACTCAGGAAGAGCTGTTGCCTTGGGAAACGCCCTTGTGGAGGGAGGGAGGGAGCTGCTGCCCGACCTGGGAGAGAGAGAGCTGGAAGAACATGAACATCCAGTTCTCTCTTTCCTACTCGGATCTTTCAGAGTGCCCCTGGACAAACCCAACAGGAAGCCATAGGCAAGAGAGCCCATGTGCTGTGGTCCTGGGTCAGCCTCGCAGGGCACAGAGCAGCTTGGAGAGTGGATCTAGAAGGGCGAATGGAAAGGATCCCAGCACAGGCCTCTACATTCCCACCTGCTTAGCATCCCCCACTTACCGTGTAGCCCCACCCAGACTGTCGACTCCAAACTTAGTCGTTTCCTCCCTTCCTTACAAACTTATTGGCAAAGTAACTGGTTTACCAATCCTAGATACCAGCCCAATGGGGATCCCAATTGATCATCTGGAAAAAAAACTCCTACAGATTTATTTCATATGCCAACTCAGCAACCAGATCTGGGACAGGCAGATTCAACAGGGAGCTGGGGGACAAAGGGCCTCTTCGGCCATACTTCTCAATTCCTACCATGGGTGACTTTGTATCATCTGTATGTAAGCGTGACTCAGCCGCACATGGCCTCTTCTTGAAAGCTATTTCAGGGAGTTAATTGCAAAAATCTGAAGATAACTAGCTACCCTATAAAATTTCTTACTTAGTTCATACAGTTAATTAAGGCTTGTCACCATTTTTTTCCCCATAACTATTTATCCTCAGGTAGTTTGAATTAGAAGTATTTTATATATTCTCTTTCAGTACAATTTCTATTCCTTGTTTGAACTGTTGGGATCTTGTCATTCCCAATCTGGTTGGTCCATCAGCGTACCATATGTTTCTGCCCTTCCTGGCTGCAGTGGTAACTATGTGACTAACCTGTCCCCACCCAATCACGTGGCTTAAACATTCATCCTACAATCTCCTGAACTCCCATTTCTCTTGAGGTGTATAGAAGCAGAGCCATAGAGTGTCGATAGGAAGGGATAGGAAACAGGATGGTTTAGGCAGAAGGAAGAAAAGGATAAGAATTTATAACCTTCAAATATGACTTTGACAGCGTACAACTGTTACAATCTCAGACTCTACAATTGCCCGGGCTGTGTCTCCTTCCCCCACAGTCTTCAATCTTGGAGCTCTAATAGTTTAAGCCAATTTTCTCTTTAACAGATGAGTCTCTGAGACCTAAACGGGTGCCAGGACTTGGCCAAGGTCACGCATCTGGTTAGAGACTCCTCCGTTAGTGTATTGCTCCTTATCTTCTCCCTGCCATAAATTCAAACACTGCTCGGAGGAAGTGACAGATCTTACCACAGAGGCCTCAAGGTCAAATGTTGTGGTCCTTCCTCCCATTAGTCAACAGAGGAGCCTCAGAAGCGCCAGCAATTCAGTGTCAACGTCCCATCCCCCAGGGGACCTGGAGGGACTCGTAGAGAACAAAATTCCACAGTCTGACCATGACAGGGCACCATACCAGAACGGCCATTACTGAATAATAACTAACTGCGATGAACCAGAATACTTTGACAAAAGGCATTTCCATTCTCACTTTGATTCTTCCAAGGAACAGGGTTTTGATGCTATAATGTCTGAACAAAGGACCCCATTGTCTGACAGGAGGACAGGTGAGTTAAGTTTGGGACTTCCCTGAAAAATAGGAACTACGTGGGCCACACTTAGGGATGATTATAAGTCGCATTTTAAGTCATAAAACCCACCAAAATCTTTCTCTTTTTCCATTGGCCGCTTAGCTCCATGCAGTCTTTCCCTTAGGCAGAATGAAAGCGTATTTAAGGCGTTAACTTATTATTTGGAAAAGTTTTTCCAGTGACTGTTATTTTCTTTGCAGGAATATGTTCCCTCCAAACCTGGTGGAAGCCTGCTTTAAACAGGTAAACACTCTACAGCTGCTAATTACTTTAGTAATTCCTCTCTGGCACACCGACATAGCTGGCCCTCTTTCTTATTTTATTTTTGTCCAAATCTCTGCAAGAAGAAACAATTTCTTAACCAGATGGGAACGTACTGGAGCTTTCTAATGAATTTAGGAAGCAGGGGTGGGTCTTACCTTACTCCGAATGCTTATTAGTTGCCAAATACTCCGTGTCTTACATACAAAGAGCTTATTGAGCCTCTGTTATTTATAAGAAGGCCAATCAGGACACTCCCTCCCTCTTCCCACCCCCACATCCCACACACAGAAGCCCACCAAGCAGGCAAACTCCAATATGAAATGCATTTACAAGCTGTTTTAAAGGTTAGGGAGATTATTCAAGTTTCTGAATTGGATTTTTTTAAAATCATTGGGCCATTAAAAAAAAAAAAAAAAAAGTCTGCTAAAGGCTTATGGATTCTAAAGGAGTAACCAGATCAGAAAGAAATGGAATCTTTATGAATTGAACGCCTCATAAGTATGATGGATGTCATTGTCTTCATTTCACTGGTGAGGCAGCCCATCTAGGATGACTCAGGGATCGTATGTATGACGGACACAAAATCTCACAAGTAGTAAATGACAGCCCCAGATTCAAATCCACTGTGTGGACTCCACATTCTGTCATCTTTCTGCTCCAATCATCTGCTTCCGAGGAAGGAACATCCCCCCTGGAGGCTATAGTGAGCTCCAGTTCCTTTCAGCCTCGGATATCCAAGCAACTCTTGGCCCTATGTGTTTTGAATACAAATATCTTAATACTAAAAGTGTAATATGCTAATGAGGCTGGACATCCTTCCAGATGAAGCTAGTGCTTCGAGGGAAGCCCAGGTCCCTGGTGCCAGAGGGAAGCGGGCCCAGCAGCTGGGTGAGGGAAGGCCTACTACTGCATGAATTTCGTGCACCGAGCCTCCAGCATTTTACTATTAGGGGCTACACTTCATAACGTTCATTCTAACCTCGCTTGAATGAAAAAGGCTTTGTTGCCCAGATATGAAAAGGGAAATAAGTAGACTTTCTGGGTTCAATAATAGTTCCCAAACGTTTTTCCAGATGGTGTCATTTTACCCTCGTTATAATTCCCTAACTCTCTGCTTAGGATTGGTAAGCAAACAAAACAAGCTCCCAACTTCATGGAGGACCAAGTTTTACACTTATAAGCCACCCTTTGTTTTTTCCCCCCTTTTTAAAAATTCTATTGACTATTTTTAATAGGTAATACATGCACACACTGCAAAATTCTAACAAAAAAGCCTAAGAGGCCAAAATCTAACTTCTTTTATTCAAAAACAACTGTAACCATAAATAAAAAGCTCTTTTTAATCTGACCAGCCAAATCCAGTACTCGGGCTGGCTCTTCTAGTTAGTCAGCTGGCACTGGGGGACATCAAAAATGCTGGTTTCTGGCAGCACTGGGAAAGTGCTGGTGACTCGTGTAGATTTCTTGCACTTGGTTTTGGGTTCCATTTACAGGATTTTGAAGGGGAAGCAAATGTATTTTCCCAGATCTGTTTCTGGTCTTAGGTCAGAAATTGCCTGTGGCTGCCATTTCTTCACCAGCATGAAGACCAGGAATTCTGCTCGCATTAAAACCATAGAGGGATGGGGGCTTTAGTTGGTAATACATTTTATTTAGTAATATACTTGGCATCCCCTGTCTGAAATATTTATGTAGAATCTCTAGGGAAAGACCACTTTCTGAATAAAAGCAGAAATACCACTATGGACTTGAGAAGTGGGCTCAACTATTAATCGAGCACCTATTCTCAAGAATTGATACTCTCAGGGATGCTTAAGACTTGTTTGGAGATTTAAAAATGTTAATACCCCCTGAAATCTCCAACTGAGTCCAGTCGCTGAAGGGACACTGTTTTTGAGCCCCATTAGCTGCCACTCATTTAGTGCTTTAAAATGTACGTGATGCTCTCATATACTCTATTTCATTTGATCATCATACCAACCCTGCGAGGTAGAACCAGCACGATTAGCTATCCCTGCTGCACAGCTGTGGAACATGAGCAAAAGGATGTTGATGATGTGTCCATAATCCCATAGCATGAACCCGTGGACAGTAAAGGGATACAATATTGTGAATATTTGTGTTTACGGATTTTTTTTTAAAGCTGTTATATTCATTTTATTAGGGTTTCGGAATAAAGCAAAAGCACATATGTATATTTAGTCAAACATCTCCAACCAGATATGTCTTTCCTATTATGATTTATTATGTGTATGAGAGTGTGTGTGTGTGTGTGTCTGTGTGTGTGTGTGTGCTGAGGAAGTAGTAGAGGTTTGTCAGAGATTAGATAGATAGATGATAGATACTTCCTTTTAAAAATATTTTTATTGATTTCAGAGAGGAAGGAAGAGGGAGAGAGAAATAGAAACATTAATGATGAGAGAGAACCATTGATCAGCTGCCTCCTGCATGCCCCACACTGGGGATCAAGCTCACAACCCAGGCATGTACCCTAACCAGGGATTGAACCGCGACCTCCTGGTTCATAGGTCCACAGTCAACCACTGAGCCACACCAGCCAGGCAACAGATACTTTCTATAACACTATTATTTGAATGCACGGTAATGTATATAATGTAAGAATTGGACAACAGGAAAGTATAAAGAAGAAAAAATAGCGCCTTTAATCCCTGCTGTGCCTTTTCTTTTTAAGTTTAAAACCAACTATGAGAAGAGAAGCATTAAAGTGCCCGTTGCGTCTAACGAAACGCTCCTGGGTGCCGTGATCAACAACGTGTCGGAAGCCATGGAGACGCTTTCCAAGATCACAGAGGAGATGATCCCCGTGCCAGGCTCTGTGAACGGGGTCAATGCCCTGGGCCTGGTCGTCTTCTCCATGTGCTTTGGCTTTGTGATTGGAAACATGAAGGAGCAGGGACAAGCCCTGAAGGACTTCTTTGACTCTCTCAATGAGGCCATCATGAGGCTGGTGGCAGTGATCATGTGGTACGTATTTCCTCTTGCGGTATACGCGATGTTCACGTGCGTGTTGCCATCAGCATGGGTTCTGACTGAGGAAGATGCCATTAGGCAGGGTGGCCATTGCAATGATCTCATTCTGATAAGCACAAGAAAAGCAATGACTTTTTTTTTTTTTTTTTCTGGAAAGGAAGATAGAAGCATCAATGATGAGAGGGAATCATTGATCGGCTGCCTCTTGCACACCTCCCACTGGGTAGCGAGCCCACAACCTGGGCATGGGCCCAGACCAGGAGTCATACCATGATCTCCTGGTCTACATTCAACCACTAAGCTACACCCGCCGGGCAAATCAGTGATTTTCTGGGCGTGTAGTGGTCCTGAGCCCATCTGTAGGCCTCTTTTAATCAATTTGCTTCCCTGTTTTTGAAAGGTGTCAACTCCTTTATCCTATGCTGATGAGATCCCTTTCTCATTCCTCAATTTAAAATCTCCTTAGCTATCGCTGTAAGGCATAGTTATCGAGTGTCTACTATATGCCAAGCAAATCATGCCAGGCACTATGGATATAGCCATGAAGAAAACCTGTAGGAATATCCTGGATCATGCATTCTTTTAAGGGAGACAGAAGATAAACAAATAAATCAACCATATGCTTTAGTCACAGGTGCTGTGAATAAAAAATAAAACAGCAGGTTTTGTTTTATGTGATGTGATTAAAAACTGACGGGAGGAGGCATCAAATTTGCCTTGTAAAGGCCTCTGAGGAGGTGACCTTTTCCCCTAAGACCAGAGTGACCCAGGAAGACAGCCATGCCAGGTGCCAGGGGAAGAGCATTCCCAGTTGCAGAAAAACAAACATAGAAGCCCCTAGACCCGTGGTCGGCAAACTGCAACTCGTGAGCCACATGTGGCTCTTTGGCCCCTTGAGTGTGGCTCTTCCACAAAACACCACGGCCTGGACGAGTCTATTTTGAAGAAGTGGCATTAGAATAATTTAAGTTTAAAAAATGTGGCTCTCCAAAGAAATTTCAATCGTTGTCCTGTTGATATTTGGCTCTGTGGACTGATGAGTTTGCCGACCGTTGCCCTAGACCACCAGAAAAACTGCCTCTCTTTGAGCGCTGAGAAAGAAATGCAGTGCCTGCTGATGCCTGGGGCACTCCTGGGCAGACGTATAGAATACCAAGCCACAGCCTATAACAAACGTCCTTCAAATGGGGCACTCCTGGGCAGACGTATAGAATACCAAGCCACAGCCTATAACAAACGTCCTTCAAATGAAGGGGAGAGCAAGGGACAAAGGAGAAGGCTACCTCCAAAAAGGAACATTGACCTTGAAGAGTAAATTCTCTCCAGCGGGGAGAAACCCTTTGATTGACGTAACCTTTATTTTCAACCCAGAGCCCCGCTTGGCACCTGAGGCAGGAAGCCGTCCGTTTCCAAGACAAACACTCCCCAACATGACGAGAAATATTCTTTGTCTTTGTGGCCACCGGAGCCCCAGGGACGTTCATTTTCCAGGAGTTTCCACAAGATGGAAGTGAAAACGTGGGCACAAAGAGCGATCAGAATGATGTCTCCACAGGAGCCCCCAAATGGAATCCCGGGGGCCCTCCTTTGAGATCCCGGCAGGGCTGACAGGGGCCATTTATCCTCGTGTTATTAAAACACCTGCACCTTTCACCCCTTTTATGAAAGAAGCCCATTCAAGGCCCGTTCCTAGCTGTGCATTTTGCCTGCACACTCAGCGTGGTTATTCGACATTCTGCAGGCAGGTTGTCCTGTAATTCCCTGGCCTGTGTTTCTAACGGGCTTCTGAAGGCAGCATTGTCTGCTTCCATCGGAAACGAGTTTCCTCCACTTCCCAGCAGCCCCCTCTCCTCGGAGCCCCGGCCTCTCAGGTTCAGGAATGGGAGTTTGGTTGTCCTTGGTGGCCACGTCGGAGGGAGCCGAATGCCGGGCTGCTCCCACACGGACAAGCCGTTCTTTGTCTCGGCCGTCCATTCCCGCTGGGTCCCCGGGGAAAGATCCCCGGGGCAGCCGCCGCCTGTGGTTAATAATTACTTAATGAGAACACCTGTAACCTGGCGGTGGCGGAGACAGGCATGTTATTGATTCCAGCAGCTCGGAGTTTAGTGTGTGGTTGCCTTCTGCCTATGGCAAGTGGCACTGGTTTTCCGTTTGCACCGGAACAGCATCTCCTCTTAGGAGACACTTGCGCCCAGGAGTTGAAGCCGAATGTGAAGTGATAGTGTGTCATGTGGAATGTGGGCAGACATAATAAAAGCTGTCCTTGAATGAGAGCGCTGACTGCAGATCTAGCACACTGACAGGCACCACTGGGCCTCTTGCTGTCGCTTGGGGCCTGGGCTCTGCTGGGGGGAGGGGTCCTAAAGGCTGGGTCTGGGTGGATTCTGGTGGTTCCGAGCACTGAGCAGGGGCGTGGATGGCATCTGAGGACCCGAAAAGGGACCCAGGAGTAGGGAGAATTATCTGGGAAAAAAGAGGCGGGTAACCAAACCTCTATCATCGTCTTTTCTCACCCATGTTACCTAGTGGTCGGCAAACTCATTAGCCAACAGAGCCAAATACCAACAGGACAACGATTGACATTTCTTTGGAGAGCCACATTTTTTAAGCCTAAACTTCTTCTAACGCCACGTCTTCAAAATAGACTCGCCCAGGCCACACTCAAGGGGCCAAAGAGCCGCCTGTGGCTCACGAGCCGAGGTTTGCCGAGCACTGCCCTAGAGAAGTTCTGAGGGAGAGGGAGGCCTGATCCCGCAGTGTTCGTATTTAAATTTATGTCTAAAAGAGAAAAGAAGGCAGTTCGGTCTCTCCCAGGGCCAGCGCGGCCCGTTGGCGATCAGACTCCCACTGTCCCGTGTCCCCGCGCAGGTACGCCCCCCTGGGCATCCTCTTCCTGATTGCAGGCAAAATAGTGGAGATGGAGGACATGGGCGTGATCGGCGGCCAGCTGGCCATGTACACCGTGACGGTCATCATCGGCCTGCTCATCCACGCCGTCATCGTGCTGCCGCTGCTCTACTTCCTGGTGACGCGGAAAAACCCGTGGGTGTTCATCGGGGGGCTGCTGCAGGCGCTCATCACGGCGCTGGGCACCTCCTCCAGGTGAGCGCGGCCCACTCCCGGCAGAAAACGCACCTCGGGCTTGCCTGGGAGCCAGGATCCTGGGCTCGGGTGGAGGGAGACCTGGTGGGGAGGATGGGTTCAAACCTCCAGGCGTAGGAATTGGCTTTTTCACTCCGTATGCTAGCCAGACCTACTTTGGGATTCAAGGAATGGCTGTGTGTATCCCTGTGGGGGCACAAAAGGGAAATGGACTCTCCTTCCTGGAGAGCTGGCCTGAGGGAGAGATGGCATCACCTGGCACAGGCTGTGGCGATGGGAAATGATGACAGATGAGGCCTCACAGAGGGCCCAGAAGCGGGAGAGTTGTCAGGGGATCCACTAAGAGGACCCCCCTGTTCCTGACCAGGCTCCCCTAAGTATGTGGGTGCTGACTCGGTTCCTTGAACAGGAAGGAACTCTGTGTCCGAAATACCACACCCTCAGGCCCGGTCCGCACCTTCAGGCTGCTCCGCTGACATGCCCTGTGTTCCTGTCCCCAGTTCAGCCACCCTGCCCATCACCTTCAAGTGCCTGGAAGAGAACAACGGCGTGGACAAGCGCGTCACCAGGTTCGTGCTCCCGGTGGGAGCCACCATTAACATGGACGGGACCGCCCTCTACGAGGCTCTGGCTGCCATCTTCATCGCCCAAGTCAACAACTTCGACCTGAACTTCGGACAGATTATCACGATCAGGTACCAGGAAAGTTCTACATGTTGTGTTAAGATTCACTTTCAATGATGAGACGGTGATCCCGGGATCAGGTGAAGAAACTGGTGGGAAGGGACTCACCCATAAATGGGAGCAAGGTTTGTGGGAATAGGTGTATTTTTTATATTTATTTTATTGACTTTTCTAATTGCAAACGTGCACATTCATTAATAATGAAATTCTAATAGTTCAGAAATGTATAAGGTCAACCGTGAAACTTGCCTGCCACCATCACTCCCCACCGTGCTGTAGGTGGCACTGTTGATGTTTGGCGCATAAAGAATTTTGCTTATGCGGAGACATGCGCACCCTTTTACTTGTGGTCAATGGAATCACACCACACTTAGCACTGGCCACTTGATTGATGTACTTCTTAGCATATCATCTGTAAATATGCCTCGCTCTTTCTCTTTGAAGAAATACCCAGAAATATGTAATGTATAGAAACAGAAAAATAGGTCTTTCTGCAGAATAAATAGCATGGATATTTCTCACTTCCATTATTAAAGGCATTTAAGAAAGGAAGTAACAGTGACTTCAGACAAAACTGCATTTCTCTTGTGTGGGCTCGGCCCCACAAGCCCTGGAGGCTGGGAGGTGTCCCGTCTGTGCCGGGCCCAGGCCTGTGGGCCCATCGTCCCTGGGTGTCACCCTCACCCAGAGGGTCCAAGGGGCTCAGTGCAACCTCCAAACTTCAGCCACAGGGAAGAAGAGGAGATGCACAGTCGCTTAGTTGCTTTCATGCATGTCTCCTTGGCCAGCAGTGTGTCTAAAGGAGTCCAAGGGAGGCTGGGAAATGTAGTCTTCACTCCGAACAGCCACACACCAGCTACTAATCCCAATCCCGTGGAAAGGGCCAATGTGGGGGAACCATGACCAGTCTCTTATCACTTTATCAATAAAGCATGTTCACGTTCTCACCCGCCTAACAAATAGGTCTTTAACAAACTGAGCCCCAGACAGAACTATGTACCTCACAAACCAGGTCCACACTGTCTCCATAAAAAATATTTATAGTGCTACAGAACCTAGTAGCACCATTGATAAATCTGTGGGTTTTTTCTGACCTCATTAACCATGCAAGTTCAGCATGTTTACAGTCCTCCACTTGGACAGAGAAATTCTTGGAAACAATTTGTTCTTGAAATACACAGTATTTTAATTTTTTAATATATTTTATTGATTTTTTTTTTTTTTTTACAGAGAGGAAGGGAGAGGGAGAGAGAGTTTGAAACATCGATGAGAGAGAAACATCAATCAGCTGCCTCCTTGATATATGCCCTTGACCGGAATTGAAGTAGCTCTCTCCTAAGTCCGCAGGCTGGTGCTCTAGCCACTGAGCCACACCAGTTAGGACTACACAGTATTCTAGACCTTATAAAATATTTCCAGGTACGTGAGTCGTCTATAACCACCAGTTTCTTCATTTAGCAATGGCAATCATAATGGGACCGACTTCCTGATCTCACCCAATGAGATCAGCCATGTAGCGTGTCAGAGGGCACCCCGTCAGCCCTTCAGAAGCTGTAGTTAGCATGATGGCGAGTTCAGCGGGCTTCCTGCAGGCTCACAGTGTTTTGAACACCACCACCCCCCCCCCCATCTGTCCTCTGGGCCAGCCAGACGCTGCATGCTGGGTGGTGCAGGGCCCGTGGGGACACGTGAACCAATGGTTTCCGTTTGGGACCTTCTTCCAACAGCATCACGGCCACGGCGGCCAGCATCGGGGCGGCCGGGATCCCGCAGGCGGGCCTGGTCACCATGGTCATCGTGCTGACCTCCGTGGGCCTGCCCACCGATGACATCACGCTCATCATCGCCGTGGACTGGTTCCTGTGAGTACCCTCGGGCCGCCGGCCCGCGCCCACGTCCTCCTAGGGCACGGGGTGCCTGGCACGCCTGCCAGCAGGGCTCCCCCAAGGGGGCGGCCAGGCCAGCCATTAAGTTGTCTTTATTGCGTGAGCCCGAGCCCCAGACGCCATGTGCGTCCAGTCCCTCATCGGCCCGTGGGGCCCATGTGGCTGCCGCCCGTCTCACCCCATAAAGCCGCCCGGATTGGGAAACCCGCGGTCACAGAGTCAGCATGGCCGCAGGCCCTCCCGCATTGCACAACCGTCCCCGCGGGCAGGACGGCAGGCCTCCGTGCTGGCTGCCCTTCCTCCCATGCTCCCCATCCCAGCGGCCCTGGCAGCACACGTGGTCCCTCTGAGCCCAGCAGGCCCGGGGACAGAGCTGGCATCCTGAAGTGGGTGTGACTTTGGCTCTGGGGAAGGTGCCCACCAGCACCCTCCAGGCCCAGCCCTCTCCCTCCCGGCCGACCTCCTCTGCCTGTTTTCCCTCTGAAGTCCCCGTCCACTGGCAGTGCGGCCTCCCCGGGTTCCCAACGCGAATGCCTGCCCGGACACAGTCACACAGGCTGACGTCATAAGGTCTGATGACCACAGAGGCCACCGGGTGTCCACGGCAGGACGGGGTGGGGGGAGGGGGGACGGGGAGAGACCAGCTGCAAGCATGAGTTCCCCGTCCCTTGGATCTGTGTTCACAACCGGGCTCTGTGACACTGACGGGGCCAGCTCCCAGCCACCTGGTCTCCCCCATGTGAAATGGGGACGGGAATGGCATCGACCCTCCATGCTCCCCGGATGCTGTGGGGGTTCAGGACAGTCGCCCCACAGCCAGCACTCAGGACCCCCAACACGTGAAGGTTATTGGGGACCAAAAAGGCTTTTTGTGTTGTGGGTCCTCTCCATCCATACATAGCAGGTTAGGGGAAAAAAAAAACAACAAAAAAAATACAGAAAAATCTAAAAATGTTGACTTCATCTAAAGGTTACAGTAATAAATTTGTTCCGTGTTAACATACTTAACCTTTTTATGAGAAAAGTCATTTTCCAAACCAAAAATGTTGTGGAAAGAACGGTATCATCTCACATTCCACAAATCACCGCCTTGCCTGGCTTTCGTGCCCAGCAGCTGGGGTCTTCCAGCGGCTGCTGGATTCAGTCAATTGCATCTTTTGTGTCGCGTGTGGTCTTTGCAAGACGCTGCCAGACCTTCTGGAGGAGATGAGAGTGAAAAGGGCAAATAGCCTCCTCGAGTTATTATGGAAATAGTTTTGACCTCAGGGGCGCCCAGTGGGTCTCTAGACTACACTTTGAGAACCGCTGGTGTGAAGGAAGGGGAGTTGTAGGAAAGAGAAATCTTAAATAAAAGGAGAAAGGGAAGAGTCATTCCCCACTATAGATACCCTAACAACTGAAAATTAATCACCTATAGGTCCTCATCATTTTTTAAAAATATATTTCTTTATTGATTTCAGCGAAGAAGGGAGAAGGAGAGAGAGATAGAAACATCAGTGATGAGAGAGAATCATTGATTGGCTGCCTCCTGCACGCCCCCTACTGGGGATCGAGCCCACAACCCAGGCATGTGCCCTTGGCCAGAATCGAACCTGGGACCCTTCAGTCTGCAGGCCCATGCTCTATCCACTGAGCCAACCTGGCTAAGGTGGTCCTCATCACTTTTATGCCATGATAACGGTGACGTACAGATGTATTGAGGCGGTTGGAAGATACACCACGCAGAAACTTAAGAGATGCTTGCACACTTGCTGGGGGTTCAGCGTGCAAGCTGGAGTCGCCCGATGTAGCCTCATTGTTCCTTCTCCCCGCCTCCCCCAGGGACCGCCTGCGCACCACCACCAACGTGCTGGGAGACTCGCTGGGGGCCGGCATCGTGGAGCACTTGTCCCGCCACGAGCTGAAGAACCCCGACGTGGAGATGGGGAACTCCGTGATCGAGGAGAACGAGATGAAGAAGCCCTACCAGCTCATCGCCCAGGAGAGCGACACGGAGAAGCCCGTTGACAGCGAGACCAAGATGTAGACCGGCAAAAAGACGCGCTCTCTGAGCAGCGGGGTCGGAAACCCGTGACCACACGTGTCCATCTCGTTCCAGCGTGTCCTCCCCGCCAGCCCCGTGCTCCCTGGTCCTCCCCACTCCGGTAGGGTCTGCCAGGGCCACTCCAGCTCCAGGGAGGGCGTGGCAGCGGCCAACATGTTCCTCCCATATCCGAAAGTTTCAAGTCTTTTCGTGTTGGCCTTAGACAGAAGGTACCGGGATTTAAAAAAAAAAAAAAAAAAATAGTCTTGATCAGATTTTGCAAAGTATATGAGACACACAATCCTGTGAATGTGCTATTTTTATAAGTTAAGGAGTCAACAAAGAGTAGGCTAAACATGTGCTTAATTCGACTTTCCAGAAAGTCCCTCAGAACACACTTCAATTTTAGGATCAAAACAGAACAACTTGATAAACCGCACTTGGCTTTCAGTTGGAAGGAAGGGTTTTCCCCCCTTTCTGTCCTGATTGGTGATTCTGTTTTACCAGTAGCAGGACCCTATGAGTCCACACCTAGCACAGCTGTGAGGAGGTGCCCAAAGTGGCATGTCCATGTGGCCGTGGGCAAGTTACGTGTTATCTCTAGGCCTCAGTGTCCTCACCTGTAAAATGGGTGAGTTCCCTAACCGCCTTCGTGGTCACGGTTACCCGGACATCCTGTGGCATCATGACCAGCCTGTCCTCGATCTCCCCCTGGGAGCATCCAGGAGCAAGCATGTCCCATGGAGGTAACCTGGGAATGAGGAGGGGCAGGCAGGGTGCGGGTGGCCAGGTCCCGTGTACACAATGTCAGCTGCACACGTCACCAGGCCAGAGGCGGCGTGGACTTACAGTCGCCTCACTCAGTTCTTCCAACAAGGAAGAGGGAAACTCTTCTGCCCTCCCCCGGGCTGGGCTGGGAAGGATCCTTCCCACCAGGCCTCCACTGGCACGAGACTTGTAGAAACTAAAATATAAGACGAGCAGCTAGCACGGGTGCTCATGGCCTGACTGTGGAACAGGACAGAGCCAGCGAGGGGAGACCATTCTAAAGAGGATTTTTAAACACAAGGTTATAGAGAGGTCATCTTTAAGGAAGGATTTTTTAATGAAAGAGGTTCTTTTTTTTTCTTCTTTTCTTAACCAGAAACGCTTTTTCTCTTCAGTTCAGAAACATTCCCCAAGGAAGTCTGCATATCAAAATATGCGATTCCCTCTTCTATGTTTGAAGCAAGTCACATGAGCTCGCTCTCTCTCTCTCTCATGCGCTCTCTCTCCATTGGAGGTCTGTGAGCTGGGTGGGTGGTCTCTCCTTTGAAAAGGTTTTTGACTGTGATCAAAAGGCCTTGGAATGAGGGAAACAAGATGTTTCTTTGTGCTGGAATCCCACCTACCCACCCATCAACACCTTCCGCTGGCGTGGGTCCCCCAGGGGAATGGCAGGCGAGGACGCGGGAGGAAGACATGTCAGTGTGGTGCCAAGAAGAAAACCGCCGGGCGTTGGTTCAGGCGAGGCAGCGCCTGGGCTTAGAGATTAGTGTTTCACCCTCTGAGCAACACCCCTGAGCCACACCTGGCAAACACAGGGGGTCGGAGCTTCCGATCGGAAATGGTGGAGGGGGGACTTAGCGATGCTAACAGACTGAGGACCTAGACGTGCGTCCTCCGGCGTGCACGTGGCGGTATTTCTATGTAGCCCCGAGCACTGCACGCGTAACCGTTAACCTTAGGCTGTGGAGGAGCAACATTTCACGTCCAGGCTCTCTGTGGGGAACACGCTACGGAAGTTCCCGTACACAGATGTCATCTCACCTGGGTAGAGCAGACATTAGTCATGTCCCGTGACTTGTGACGCGACGCGATCACTTTTGTACACTAACCATTTCTCACCGAGCGCAAGGCTCTGCGGGGACACGCACCCGGGCGGGCGGGAGCCTTCCGTTGTAGATGTATTTTCAATAAAGAAGAAACTAGTTTTACAGGACACCTGTGCACGTGGTGGTTATTCTCCCGGGAGGAAGACCAGGGCTCCTTCGGGAAAGGGGGGCCGTGCTGGGGGCAGGGACCTTGCAGAATTGTTTTCTTTCTTTTTCGAGGTAAAATCTATAGTCAGGGCCAGGCGGGGACGCTGGGCACAGGAAAATAAGTAAGAACACCCTCCCGCTGCCCACCTCCCAGACCTGGACTGGGAGCAGGAGGGCGTGAGGGAAGCATCACTCAGACAGACCAGGCCGTTACCATGTTGGCAGGAGGAACGTGGAGTGCCACCACCGATGCTTCTGAAAAAAGGGATTTCCTGTGTGACCCTTTGTGAAAGCTGCACGCGGGCTCAAGGAGTAGTCAGAGGCAGCCCTGGTGCTGGTGCCTTGTTCCCGCCACGAGAAGGGACAGGACGCCTGGCCCCTCCCCATTGTGCCTTTCAGGAAGTAAGTACTTGGCAGGCGGGGTCCTGTACGCCCAGGCCGGGGTTGTTTATGTTGAAGAAGTGGCGTTAGAAGAAGTTTAAGTTTAAAAAAATGTGTCACTCAAAAGAAATTTCAATGGTTATGCTGTGGGTATTTGGCTCTGTGGACGGATGAGTTTGCCGACCACGGGCCTAGGTCATCCACGCAAAGACTCCCGTGGGTTCACGGAGCCCTGGAAGCAAATCACGGGAGAGTTTTGCGCCTTTGCCTTTTTCTGGGGTAGAAATCTTTAATTTCCACCCGTTTTTCTTAAGGAACTTTGGACCCAAAAATGTACGTGCCACGGTTAGATTGGTGCATCCCGACTTCCCCCCGGGCATCGGTGCTGGTGGAGCGGCTGGTGGGGCCTGGAAGGAAGCTGCTCGCCCAGAACCCCGGGGGAACCTCACGGGCACAGTGGGCACGGCTGGACACGCCATCGGGGAAGCCGGAAAAGATGAATGCACTGCCGCTGGGGGGCTCCCCACTGCCCACCCGTTCCCTGACCTCCGCCCCACACGGCGGCCCCCGCACAGCGGGCGGAGCCGGAGAGCAGCCTGTGGAAGGCCGAGGAGGCGTCCCTAAGGGCCGGGCAGCTGTCCTGTGACTTAGATGCTGGGGGGAAGCAAGCACCCGTCTCTCTGCAGGGGAGCGACAGATCTGTTCACGGGTACAGCCATGGACCGACATCTCTTAGGTTAACATGTTTTAAATGTTTCTGATAAGAAAACACATTCCTGCCTCACCGGTGTGGCTCAGTGGTTAGAGCGTCGGCCTGCAGACTCAAAGGTCCCAGATTCAATTCCGGTCAAGGGCATGTGCCTTGGTTGCGGGCACATCCCCAGTAGGAGGCAGATGATGGATGTTTCTCATCAGTGTTTCTAACTCTCCCTCTCCCTTCCTCTCTGTAAAAAAATCAATAAAATATATTAAAAAGAAACAAAAAGAAAACACATTCCTAACAAATGTTTCAAATCCTCCACTTTGAGGAGTTGGGGTCCATGGGCCCCCGGCCCATATGCTCTCATTCAGCACCACTGCCCCCCTCCCCACCCTCAGCAGGATTTCTTTCCCCAGACTGAAAAGTCTCCCTTTCCCAGAAAAATCCTTTTCGGTGAGTTTTCATTCGCACATGCCACGCGAAAACCAGACTCCAGCGCAGTGAGCTGCGGGTCCGAGGCGCCTGGAGGAAGGGCTGGCTTCCCCCGGAGGGAGGGAGCGGATGGAGGGGGCCCACGCCTCCATCCGGCCCGCTGGGCACTGACCCGAGGCTGCTGTCAGTCATCAGTCATCGGCCCTTCTCCCAGCTGGTGGTCCCAGAACTGGGCAACAATGGCCCGCCTGTGTGGCCTGTTCCGGGGCCCGAGCGGTGGGAGACGCCACCCGTTGGCAGGCCGGATGAATGAGCCAGAGAGCGGGGGAGAGAGGGCGAAGGAAACGGATGGGCTGTCCTGTCTTTCTGTCGTCTTGAGGTGAGGAAGATCTGGGATCAATGAGGGTGGGGGAGGGGGGGTGATTCCTACAGTGGCCACCAGGGGGAGCTCGGAGCCCTTCGGGTGGAGGGACTGCACTGAGTGGCCAGATTATAATTATCTCTGAACACATAATAATCTGGCCACTCGGGGTGTGTGTGTGTGTGTGTGTGTGTGTGTGTGTGTGTGTGTGTGTGTGTATACACCGGGCCTCTAATATATATTAGAGTATTAGAGGCGTGGTGCATGAATTCATGCATGGTGGGTCCAGCCAGCCTGGCCAGAGGGAGGGGACATGGTTGGTTGGCCAGCCTGCCTGCTGGTCGAACTCCTGGTCCAGGGGACAATTTGCATATTAGCTTTTTATTATATAAGACAGTGGTCAGCCAACTGCGACTCATGAGCCACATGCGGCTCTTTGGCCCCATTAAGTTTTTAGCAAAGGCCAGCTTAGGAGCACCCTGATTAAGTTAATAACAATGTACCTACCTATATAGGTTAAGTTTTTTAAAAATGTGGCTCTCCAAAGAAATTTCAATCGCCGTACTGTTGATATTTGGCTCTGTGGATTAATGAGTTTGTCTAGGATATACGCTGAGTGGCCAGATTCCTGTGTGTTCAGAGATCCTAACAATCTGGCCACTCAGTGTGTTTCCTCTGAAAGAGAACTGGCTGTGAGGTTCCATGGGAATTCCAAGGTCTGCAGTGCCCAGACCGGATGGATATGTGAACGCCTCCAAGGGCTTACAGTTCTCCACCGTCCCTGTCTCTGTCTCCCTGTTCCTGAGGGTCCCCCTGCTTCTCCAGTCTCTCCACCGGGAGCCCTGCCTTCCTGTTTCCCGGACGCGGGTACCAAGGAAGCAGCCTGGTACCACCTGCAGCTGGTCTTCCTGGTACCACCTGCAGCGGATCGTCCGTCTTCCCCAGGGAACTGCTGACCCGCCTTCAGTTTGGAAACTGGCATTTCAGTGAATTTACACACAGGAGGAGGGGTGTCGATAAGATACGAGACGCCCGGTGAAATGTGAATTTCAGATACGTGCCAGTAGTGCTTTAGCATGAGGATTACATGTCAGATGATGTGCTAGTG